AGGCATCAAAAAAAAAACTCCTAGAGGGCCCCCCGACCACCCAAAAGGGCCCCAAGAGCGCCCCAACTGAACCCCAGGAGAGCCCCAAGATGGCGCCAAGATGGCATTACGAATTTATCTTCCCCCTCTTTTTGATCCACGCGGCCTAAAACGGCCCCAAAAGGCCTCCCAGACCCCCTCAAAGAGCCCCAAGAGGGCCCCAAGACGCCCCAAAAGAGCCCCAAGAGGGCTCCAAAAAGGCCCTAAGAGGACCTCAAGAGTCCCAAGAAAGAGCTCCAGGAGGGCCCCAAGAGGGCCCCAAGAGAACCCCAAGAGAGCCCCCAGATGGCTCAAAGTTTCGAAACGCACGCGAGCTTAAGATACAAATTAGTGCAACAGCCATTACGAGTCATCGGAGCACCCCTCACCCCTCATCGAAGCACCATCGTAGCTTGCACCGATTCCCATCTTAAACTTCAGTGCGGGAAGTTATGTGTGACCCTTGTTTTCCCGAAGACGGCTGCGCGACTGCATGCGTCCTGCCGCCCCTGATTCACCAACTCCCCGGCTGATCGTTTCTGGATGGGCTGCCGGGAATACTCTTTGCTCGCGAACGCAAGCGGGAGAGCCGCGCGCCGTCACAAGGGTCAACAAGCTTAAATGCCGCGGCTAAGACAGAAAGCTAGTAGGGATACTGTTTGGTCTGCGGGCTCGCGAAGCAAGTCGAAAGCCGTCCGATCACTGGCCGGACCGCGAAGCGAGCGCGCGGGCAGCCACTCAGAAGTGCACCAGGAGCGGCATTCCCAACCCGGTGGCGTGGAAATCCCGGTAGCGACCATCAAATAGGCGCAGCCAAAATGGCGCGGCGGCGCGATCATGAACACGCAGAGGTCGATCACCCGTTGTGAATCGGCATAGGGCCCGACGAAAACGAGCAGGTCCGACAGGCACTTCAGGGCGACATCCGTGCCGTAGGTGACACAACAGCATCGTGTCGGCGCCGGAGTGAAGGCTGATAGGGATACTTTGTCGGTCGCGTCCGCGAGCGAAGGCGCAGGCGGAGTCAGAAGCGTTCCGGGGCGCGGAAACGGACCGAATTAGCTACTGGGATGACTGGTAGGGATACGCGAAGCGTCAAGAATTCAAAGGCTGAGCCTGCAAGTGCAAGCGGTACACGGGCGCGATAAGGGCCTCGCTATCCTCGGCACCCCTGGGAACGGCCGAAAGAACGTCGCTGGTCCCGCAGAGAAGGGGCGAGAGGGGGGAGGGAGAAGGGAGGACGGATCTCCCTCGGCCGTGGTAGGCGCTGCCCTCCACGCAGCCAGAGGGAGATTGACGGAGGGGGAGGACGACGAAGACGAGGACGACGGCTTATGGGTCCTCCCCTTCAAAAGCGATCCAAAAATCTGACCAGAATCTCCAAGGGAATCCAGCCGTGGCGACAAGGGCGATCCAGGAAGCCCGAGGGGAAGGGTCAAGGGCGACGAGGACGAGGGTATTGCTCGTTCTGGTGACCTTCGTGGAGCCTAGAGCCACTCCATTCATGCGTCGATGCTGCGTCGAACGACCGTCGACTGGCGTAAAAAAATGGGTCGAACATGAGTCTAAAGAGATACCGATACAGGCACTCCCTGGTCATCTCCTGAGGTGTATTCTGGCCAGAATTTCGGGGTGTATCCGATAGTGGCGACGAGGGCCTCCATGGAGGCCCCAAAAGGCGAAACCGAAAAAAAGGGTAGCGGTATCGGTGCCGCTTCCACCTCTGAGGCAGGCTCCCGGGGAAGTCGTGCAAAGAAGGCGGAAGTGGAGGGGGGGAGAACGTTGCATTCGCGGCAATAACGGGCATTATGGGGGAGGGGTGGGGGTCGGGGGGCGGGGGGGGGGCAGGGGCATAAACGTAGCGCCCACCCTCACCCGGCGTGCGGGCGGCTTTGCAGGGGACGCACTGGGGAGGGGGGGGGGGCAAGCGTGACGTAATCAGGGGGGGGAGGGGCGCGGGGGAGGGGGGGGACAGAACGCGCGCAATGGCCCAAAAGGGTTTTAAATTATGATTACAACAAACCATAACAATATTCACAAATGACACATGTCGTGTATACACAGAGATATACAAAAATATACACATATATATATATATATGTACACTAGCACATGTTTCAACATGTTCTGGTTTAGTTATGTTTCGGGTTCCTGTACAAGGCGTTCCTTTGCAAGCACATCGTCCTCGGCACCGCCTGATTCCGGGGCTTTGCCCTCTCTCGGCCTTGACGTGAGGCCCCTCCTTCTGCCTTCCCCCCTCTGTCAATTAGAGCTGTGCGCGGCCCGCTTAGCTTCGACCGGAAGAGGTGCGCTCTCGACCCGCGGATCAAATAAAAAGAAAGTTTTGTTATGTTTTTACCCCCCCCCCCCCAAAAAAAAAGAGACGAGCGCCGGCAGCGACAGGCGGAACACGGGTCCCAGCGCTGCCCGGGGAGAGAGCAGGAGGGCGACGCCGCGCCTCGCGCACCACTGCCTCCGCCTCCTCCGTGTCGGCCAGCTGGCTGCGCGACTCCTCGCAGCGCGGCGGGCCGATCACGACGGGGGGGGTGCTCGGCGACGTTGCGGCTGGCGTTGGAAAGATTCGAAGCGGGAAAAACGGCATAAACATAAACTTTTGGCGCTCGGCGCGGCATTCTTGGATCCGCGCTGGGGCCCCCCGGCGGCGCCTCTGGCGCCGCCCCTGGCGTGCTCCAGGGCACGAGGACGTCACGGTTGGCGTTGGAAAGATCCAGTCGGCCCGTAACAGAAGGGTGCGCGATAAGGATGCAAGGGCCTTGGACGCCCATTCCGAAGCCTCTCGAGTGGAGCGTTGTCAACGAAAGTGGACGGTAAGGATGCAAGGGTACCCTTGGGAAGGATGCCCATTCTAATTATGCGGGTTGACTGCAGCGTGCAGCATCGACCTCCGAAACGCGCGCGGTCCCCGTGAGGGCCCTCTCCTGCGCATACCGCCCCCCTGCCGGGGTTTCTTCGGTGCACGCTATATCCCCAAGGTGGGCCGACGGCGCCACGTCGCACGCTACCTTTCCAACGCCGAAAGCGCAGCGCCTCCGTCGAGGCGGAGGAGGTGGAGCTCGGCCGCGTCCCGCACCGTCTCTCGGCGGCCCGGAAGGGGCCCCCGGCAGGTCTGCGCTGGATCGGATCGCGAGATCGGATCGCGTCGAGAGCGGATCGAATCGCCAGCGAATCTTCCCGAATCGGATCGGTATCGAAGGCGGCCAGGCGCGGCCAGCTGCAGTTTTTGTTCGTTCCCCTTCGGTCTGGGTCAGGGGCTGCGGCTCGCATGCCAGCGAATAGAGCCGCATCGCATCGAGTTGGATCCGCGGTCCCAGCCAGCGAATCAAATCGCATCGAGTCGGATCGTAGGCGGCCCTGCCCTGGCCTGGGGGGCCGCAGGCGCCGACAAGCTCGGGCTCGACGCCTTCGGGCCTCGGGAGGCCCGAGGACGTCGGGGGCGTTCCAGAGGGGGGGGGGTCCAAGAGGGAGGCTCGCAGGTCACGGCCCGAGGCGCGTGCGCGGCCCAGGGGAGGCCAGGGGACGTGTTGAGATCCGCCACCGTGCCCTCGAGGCACGAGCTGGAGTGACCTCGGGTCCTTTGCCGAATCCTTTAGACTCTGCCTAGAAGGGTTCTTACTTTATAAGCTTCAAAGGGCCGGGCAGTGTTCCTCGCCCTGAGCGGTAGGGTCGCACTGGGATAATCAACCCCCTGTCCTGAATATCCCGAGGTCTCTCTGGAGGGGCCTGGACCCCAAGCGGCCAGGTCGTCCGGGAGTCCCGGCGCTCCCTCCGGGGGCCCGTCGCGGCTCCTCGCGCGACTTCTGCGGGCTCAAGAGGGCCCCAAGACAGGCCAAGAGGGCCCCAGGAGGCCGCCCAGACGGTCCGAGCCCCAAGACCGCCCACGAGGGCTCCAAGACCGCCCCAGAGGTGCCCAAGACGGCCCAAGACGGCCCAAAGACAGCTCCAAAGGTCTTTCGCCCCCAAGAAGCCCCCAGGAGGCGCCCAGGAGGCCCCAAGAGGCCCGAAAGAGGCCCCAAGAAACCAAGACGCCTCAAAAGGCGCCCCCAAGAGGCCTCAAAACTGGCCCCAAGAGGCCCCCGAGAGGCCTCTCGCGACATCTCAACGAACATCCTTGAGGCCTATGACCCACAACCCAGGCACGATGGCAAGATGGGCCGAAGGCCATTAAATCCGCCGCCCCCTGTTGTTGGCTTGCCACAGGGGTGCCCGGCATGCTAAATTCTATTGCTCTTGGTTTGGGTTCTTTCTCAAAAGAACTCTCCCTGAGGCTTCGGCCCGTCCCGCTGGCCACCCGAAAATTGTCCCCGAGACGGCTCAAGATGAGTTTCAAGACCGCCAAGATGGCTCAAGATGGCCTCCAAGATGCCTCCAAGATGGCCAAGATGGCCTCAAAGACGGTTACGATGGTCCCAAGATGCCTCCAAGACGGCCCAAGATGCATCCAAGACGGCCTAAGATAGCCTCAAGATGGAACAAGACGGCCGAAGAGGCTCCCAAGAGGCCTCCAAGACGGCCCCAGAGACCTCCAAGATGTCCTCCAAGAATGCTAGAAGAGGCCTCCAAGAGGGCCTCCAGGAAGGCGCGAAGAGGCCATAATCACTGAGATCCCTTAGGCTTTCGAAGGATTTTGGCATTTGCTTCTTTTCGGCCTTCCGACGGCCCGAGACGACCCAAGAGCCCAGAAAGCTCGCCACAAGATCGCCCAAGAATCCTCCACGATGGCCCCAGAACTGTCAAAACGGCCCCCAGACCGCACCAGGAGGGCCTCAAGACGGCTCAAGAGGCCTCCAAGACGGCCCTGGAGCACCCCAAGAGGGCCCCCAGTCAGCCAGAGAGGCCCCAAGACAGCTTCCAAAGGCGTCAGATGGGCCAGGCGCCCACCAAGACGGGCCAAGATGGCTCTAAGATGGCCCAAGACGGCACAAGAGGCCCCCAAGAGGTCTCCAAGACGGCCCAAGAAGCCT